CCAAGTTGGACTTCATTGGATGTTCCTTTTCTCCAATCTCAAGCTTCAATTTCCCATTTTTGGCCTCAAAAGCCTCCATATTGGACTTCATTAGCCTTTCATTTTCTTCAATTTCGGGCTTCAATTGCCAATTTTCAACCTCAAAAGCCTCTCTGCACTTCATTATCTGTTCCTTTTTTTCAGTTTCACTCATCAATATCCCAATTTTAGCCTTAAAACCCTCTAGAAAAGACTTTATTCGCTGTTCTTTTTCTTCAATTTGCTGCTTCAATCTCCTATGTTCAGCCTCACATGCCTGTATATTGGACTTCATCTGCTGGTCCTCCCGCTTCAATCTCGTATTTTCAGCTTCAAGTGTCTTCAGAATAGTTTGCCCTGTGCTCCTTGCACGATTGCGTCCAAGTGGTTCTTCTCTCTTCCACTTTGCTAACTGAAAATCCGATGCACATGTAAAAATGAAAAAATTCAAGACCAAGCTCATGAAGTGCAAATGAAATGATAAAAGAGACACAGATCTTCACCTTTGGCGTCGAAGAAGACAGTACACAATGCTTAACAGACCAACCAAGACTAAAATCTGATTCCTCTGAGGAAAATTGAGAAAATGGAGGCTGAAAATTAGAAAACAAATTTAGGTTCTCTGAGGAAAATTGATATTGATCTGATAGTCCCTGCATGAACGGCTGCGGTTCGATTGCAGAGTTTACGCCTTGTCCCTCATGTGAACTGAACTGTGGTAACACATCGTTTGGATATGCAGTTTGGCCTACTTGTTGCTGCGGCAAGAAATATGGTAATACATGAGAATCATCAGTGAACGTTTCTGGAGATTGAAATGTTGGTCGCATTCTACTTGTGCCATCTAGCCGAGTCAGCGGCCGTGTTGTCCAATCAGCCTGAAAATCTGGACTTATCAATGTATCGGATTGCGATGCATAAACTTGTGTGCCTAAAAGTTGAGTTATATTTTGTTGAAGCCCATCCACCTTTTGATTCAACGAGAAGATACCCAGTTTAACTCCGTCCAGAAGTTGTTGCATGTAAGTAGTAGACATTGATTGTACATTTGCACCCGCAATTCTGTCCTGTAAGGAATTACATAGACCTTCCCTTTCTTCTAATTTCCACTTCAATTTCTCATTATCCTCAAGCATGGACTTTATCCGCTGCTTCTGTTCATCGTTTTCTTGCTTTAAACGATCATTTTCATCCTCCAGTGCCTTTTTCCCATCCTGAACATACCATACATATATAAAAATGATTCAAGACCAAACTCATAAAGTGCAAATGAAATGATAAAAGGGACACAGTAGATATTTACCTTCTTTCTTTGTCTGTACGCCCGGTCGATCTTTCTCTTTCTGACACGCCGTTCTTCTTCACCATTTTCACCAATGTTTCTTTGTGAATCAGAATCCCCAGTTGAAGTTGCCAGAGTCTGACCTAAATTCTGCGAAGTCAACAGCCGTGTTGGCGCTGGAGCCTGACTGCCTTGCCTTTGATCTAACACCAATCCTTCCCTTGAATCTGCAGGTTGATCTAATCGATGCTCCGTGACTTGATCCATGGAATTACCCTGGACAAATCATTCAAACTGTTGTCATCCGGATTTACTTCTTCCAATTGAGACATTTAATTTATAGTATATATCAAAATCCAAAGGACTAATTAAAGTGAAATTTATGGAAGGAGTAGTTGAATATACATCCTACACTTCAGAGGAGACTTTGTACGTGCGAGTGCCTGTACCTTTTTAAATTTAATTTCAAGATCTTAGGAAACAGAGATGTTTACCTTTTGTTTGTCTCCGTATCCTTTATCCTTCTTTTTCTTTTTCTTTTTCTCACGCCAAGCTTCTTCAATATATTGACAAATGTTTCTTTGTGAATCAGAATCCCCAGAAGAAGTTGCCAACAACTGCGCTGTGCGGCAGCCTAACTGCCTTGCCTTTGATTTTTCCCCAACTCTTCCATTGAATCTGCAGGTTGACCTAATTGTTTCTGCGGATTTATGGAAGGATGAAAATTAAAATAAGAAAAGTGAAATTTATGGCGAGATGAAAGATAAATTACAAAAATGTTATTACGAGGAAAAAAAAAAAAAAAGGGCAAAGAAAGAAATTTTTTGCTTCCACCTCCAATTCCAGAGTTGGC